TCCAATGGGTTTATGGATTTAGAGGTAAAATAAACTTAATGACCCCTACTATTGCTAAGCTTATTAGTATGATACATTGCTTGCATATATATGTTGGTTGAAAGGATTTCATCATGTCAATGTTTATATGGATTGTATGGAAGCCATACACCTAAACTTGAAAGGGTGTAACAATGACCATCCCTTTGCAAATATTGTCGAGGAAGCAAGATCCTTCTATAATAGATATTGGCAAATTCTGACGGCTCACAAGTAGGGAGGAGAATGTTCATGCTTATCTTCTTGCCAACTACTCTCATAGTTTACTTTCAAACATTGTAATTTTTGACCAGCCTCTCATTTAGCTCATAGAGGAGAAGGATGAACAATTGTTTAGAGTTGTCTGTTTGTTTGTACCTTAGACAATAATGTTTTTCAGTAGAAAAACAAAATCTATTCATGCAATGGTATTGAATATCACAAGGATTTATTTTATGACACTATACCTATTTAACAAGTCTAAAGAACATTTATTTTTGAAATTCATCTAATACTTTATCAACAACATTAAAAATTTTAGAGAAGAAAACTAATCAACGCAAAAATTTCCCTATATATCAATGGTTCTCACTATAAAAAAAACATTGGAATTTTTGCTCATACACTCAAATTGCGTTTTTATTTACACACACATATATATGTAATATTTTCTTATAATTATATACAATTATCATCTAATGATCTTCTTTAAATTACAATATTATTTTTATCTTCATTCAAAGAGAGGTAATGCGTGTAAGATAAAAGCGATTAATTTCAAGAGCATAATGACAGTCAATTAGTTCCATACGAAGAAATTAATAACAATTAGGTCTCTAATAAAATTTTTAAAAAGAAGTTGCAAATATAGATTTAAATAACTGTAAATTCAAGAGTTTTAATCAAAAATAAAATATTTACATTCCAAATATAACAATCAGTTTGCAATTTAAATTTTTATTTTTAATTATTTAAATTAATATTTACAATTCATTTATCAAAAAAATTTATGAGGAATCTAACCATCCTTAGTTCATTTTGTTAGGACTTCGTTTTCATTCTTCTATTAACTTGTTTTTACAAATCAATAATTTTAGCATTTTCATATAGGGTTAAGCTATAGGCTCAAGTATAATTTAAATCCTAAACTTGTTTTTGGCATATTTTACCCCCTAAACAATTATACTCATGATAATTTGACTCCTACGTTAACTTCAAGTGAAAGAGATTAAATCTCCCCCCAGGGTCTCTAGGTCTAGGTTCGACGGTAGTTAAGGACAGTGAGGGGTTGGGAGTGTTGGCTTTCTGTCTCAAACATTGATGGAAATCCAGTAATTATGAGAGGGGGAGGATGGGAAAATATGGACTCATCTTTAATCTTCATTAATGTGATGAGATCTAGATCATTTAAATTTTAATTTAGATGATCCAGATTTAAAGTATTATTTTTATATTTTTATTTTATATTTATTTAAAAATTTATAAAAAAATTTAATTATCAATCTGGTCTAGATTTAATTTGAAGGATCCAATTTAATATTTAAATTTTTATAATTATTATATATTAGTTATCTAGATGTACTTTGCACAGTTAATATTTAGTATTAATTTTTTTATTATTTTTGTAATTTTTTATTTTTGATAAATATGATATTAGAAATTAAAATATGTAAAATTAGAATTTTTTTAAAAAATTACAAGTTATAAATTTTAAATTTGAACTATGTAGAGTACATTTGGACCCTTCAAATTTTGACAATAAAAAATTTATTATAATTTTTATAAATTTTATTGTAATAAATATAAAATAATACTTTAAATTTGGACAATCCATGTTAAAACCTGAATGGTCTAAATTTCACCGATCAACGCACGCGCGCGCACACACACTCACTCTCTATCAGTAGGCGCGCGCGTGCACACACACACACACACAAAAACTGTAGAGTTATAGTGTCATTAGTTAAAGCTTGAAATGTACTAAAGATGAGTTTAAGGTTTAAATAACTTATGAACTTAAAATGGACTAAAGATGAGTTTAGAGTTTTAATCACTTATGAACCTATAATTTAAGGTCTAACTTACCATTTAACCCTTTTCATATATTATTTTTTCCCCATTTCCATACACAAGTAAATGTTACCCATTATTTTCTTAGAGAAAGTTTTATTTATTTTTGAAAATAGATAAGAAAGAGTTTGATATAAAGTTTTATTTATTTTTGAAAATAGATAAGAAAGAGTTTGATATAATATGCGTAGTTTATTTGTTTATTTTAAATTGAAACTCAATACCATTTAATGAAGTTTGTTTTTTCATTTTGACAATACATTTTTCGTTAATTCTCTTTTTTATTATTGAATAATATAATCCATTTTTAATTAACTTATGCTTATTTTAAGAATCTATTATATATATATATGTGTGTGTGTGTATATACTCCTTTCGTTCAAAAATGTAAGGTATTTTTAATTGAATCTCACCCTCAATAAAGTAGTTACTTATTTTTAAATTAACCCTATTTTTTCATATTTATCCCTATTAAACACCTTATAATAAATATAAAGTTATTATCAATAGGGGCACTTTTGAAAAAAAGACAATGATTCTTGAAAGACTAAATTGTTTTTACATTTTTAAATATCTAACTCTTTAAAAAATGCCTTACATTTTTAAATGGAGGGAGTATATATATATTATCTTTATTTTAAGACTGTTCCTCATCAATTTTTATATTTTTTTTAATTTTAGTTATTTTTAATCGTTTATTTTAAATTAAGATAATTCAAAAACACTATTAATCGTTTATCTTTATGTGTGAATTATATTTTAATTATGCTTTTTAACATTTCAATAAATTTTCATCTATTACCGTACCATTCCATTGAAAAAGAGAGAGAAAATATCTTTCATATATTCTCATTTAGCTTATGTTATAAATTATTTTATATTTTCGGAGACCATCATTTACTGTTAGGCTGGCCCAAGTTCTGAAAAACTGGAATTATTATTAGCTTTCTCATTATTTAGCTCACGTTATAATATACACATATTAAATTGAAACACGTACTAACTTTTGCTCTTAACATTTTGAAGTACTCGGTTATGTTTTATTTATGTGTTTGGAGACTTGAGTAAATTTTATATTGTTACTACTGTTCCGTAAAATGAGGAAAAATCTTCCCATTCACATAATTTTGCTCATATTATAAATTATTTTATAGGTTTGTTAGGAAATTGACATTTATAATTAATTAAGATAACCTTCCGCTGCCACTATTCTGAAAATCTGGATTCGTGCTTGCCATTATTCCAATAAATACATGCACATATGCAACTCATCATAACTATTATTGATTGAAAGCATTTGTAATTATTAGTGAATAATCTGGTTCCTTGATATTTACCATAATTAATTTTTTTAATTCGAAGAATATTAGATATTAAATTATGTGCAAGGATATATATATATATATATATATAATATTTTAAAACATCTTTAAGAAAAATATAAAAAAATTATATTTTCAATGCACTTTCCTATATTTTGAAAATAGCCGTAGCTCCCACTAATGTCCCTCCATTCCTTTTTTTCCCCCTATAAAAAGAACAAATACGTTTAAAAAAATTTAAATATAATTTACAACAATATTTAGAAAATACCTTTATTGAGTGTGTGCACAAAGATTCCTTGAATTTTCAATGCATTGTTTTTCAAAAAAAGAAAAGATGAAGTGCACTTACGTAAGAAAGAAAAATGAAAGTGAATGAGCTAGATTCCTTACAATAAAACAATAAAAAAAAAAGCCACCATAAAATAGCCTCATAACATGCTTTTTGGGAATTTTAAAAATCCGCCAGGCCATATTATTGGAGAGTTGGCCCATTCCCAATTGTGGTGGGCTGAACCAAAACCCGTTTTACAATACTATTATGAAGGTAATAATTAACTGTAACCAAAAGCAGTAAATTTTCAACCTACAAAAATAAATTTAAAAAAAAAACTTTACACCTTCTAAGCTATGTGATAAAATTTTCAGATTTAAGAAAAAAGTATAAGAGCCAATAATAAAGATATTCAGACATTGATGGAAAACATAAGGGCATCACTCAAAATAAACTATAAAAAACATTAACAACACGTCCAAATTCTAAGCCAAACATCATTAGTCCACACAGCAAGATATTAAATCTCTGAGTGATCAAACTCAAATAATTATAAGAATCATACTTCAAATCTTTATTTCACTATCATGCATAGCTAAGCTGCATTATATTTGAATGTAACCTTCATTGATCCTCTTCACGTAAAGTTTACAATGGTATAACAGAGTTAGTTGGTTGATACAATTGAAAAATATATATATATTTTAATAATATAGACAATATGAATAATGAACAAATGGTCCAAAAAAAAAAAGAATAATGAACAAAAACAATATTAAAAAGTTACAGCATATGCTTTTTCAAGTTACAGCAATTGCTTTATGAAGTTTTTACTACTATTACATACAAACGGGTATATATCCCCTAATTGCATTGCCATGTTTACTTCTATAATATTGTAATTATCTAGCGTGGATCAAAATTTTAATTAAATTATATATAGTTTTGAGCTTTTGTATATATGCACTTTTGCTCGTGCACGAAGTTTCAATTCTTGCAAAATCTACTAATAGACAAATATGGTCTTATGTCTGTTATCATAATAAAAAAAAGACCTATGTATTATGTGACATAATGTAAAGCAAGGATTAAAACGTTAATGAACATTTACATGAATAGAACTCGATCATATGACACACACGCACACTAACACAAAAAAATTCCATTGTTATAAAGAAAACATATCATAATAAACACAAACAAATATGCATGCATGTATATTTCAAACAATATAATAAAATTTGCTAAATATAATCATATATTTATTTACCTTATAAACCAACACTCAAATCATGTTGCTCAACAAAGTGTAATGCTTAACGACTCCAACGCAGAACTGGGTGCCATTGTCCCTCATGCCTTTGATAATCAAGATAAAGTTGTGGAAAGATGATACAAAGAACATCGTCCACATATTTCCAGTACCTTATCTTCCATTTGCTCCAAAAGAAAAGAGGTCCGATAATAATGGCTAAGCCAAAAATCACTCCAAATTCCATGCCTGTGATAAACTTGAAATCAATTCCATGATCATTTCTAGAAGCTAGAGGTGGCAGCATCAATCCTGGCCTCCCATTATTTGGAATTTTGGTCAAAGGAGGGCCATACAGCCCTTTATTGCCTTGGAAGGAAGAGGCATCAAACGATTGAATTTGTGTGCCTCTAGGGATCGTTCCCACAAGATGATTAAATGAAAGGTTCAAAAATGAAAGGAATGATAGACTTGCAAGCTCTGTTGGAATCTCTGCAGTCAAAGAATTGTTTGACAAATCCAAGGATTCAAGCTGCTTCATATTTCCAATTGAAGATGGAATTTTGCCTGAGAAAGCATTGTTTGACAAATTGAGAACATGAAGATCTACCAAGTTCATTAGCTCTTTTGGTATTGGCCCTTCAAAATTGTTAGATGAAAAGTCAATGCAAGTGAAGGAGTATAGTATTTTATCCCACACCATTTCTCGGCCTTTACTCACAATTGTCATTGAATAATACTGTGATGTACCAGCGGAATAACTGGATACGATGTAAGGCTCAGAACTGAATAATGTATGTTGAAGTTCAATATTAAGCATCATTAGTTCTGAGGCTGTGAAAGCTTTGGCCGGAAGAAATCCAGTGAATTTGTTAAAAGCCAAATCAATAATCTGAAGGAAAGGCCAACTTTCATCATTTTCTAAGCATCCAATGGGACCCTGAAATTGGTTTTTTCGCAAAACCAAGACTTCAAGTGATAAGTTCCTTAGGAAGCATGGAAAGTAACCACTAATATAATTATTCCCAAGATTTAGCACCCCCAAATTCGTGCAACTGATCATTGACTTGGGTATGAAGCCACTCAATTGATTTTCCTGTACATCTAATATGAAAAAATCACATGCTTTTGGAAATGCATTAGGAATATTGCCTTTGAGCTTGTTCTTTCCAAGAATTAGTATCTGGAGAGTCTCACTATGTATTAAACAAGGTGGGATTGTCCCTTCAAGCACATTATTGGAAAGATCAAGTAAATACATACGTGGAATATTGCACAAGGAATGAGGAATGTCCCCATGAAATTTGTTTCTTGAAAGTTTGAGGAAATGAACTGAATGAAATTGAGCACCAATGTTATGTGGAATAACAGTGTTGAAATTATTACTTGACAAGTCCAAAAAGAATGAGGTAATAAAAGGAGGAATCTTCCCATTGAGTTTGTTGGAGTGAATATCAATAGCATCCAAATTAATAGTGTAATTTAGCATATGTGTTTCAAAGCTAGTCAAAGAATTGAGAGAAAGATTTAGATGACCAGATACTTGTAGAATTTTCCAAATCCAATGAGGAATCACTCCTTCAATTTGGTTGTTTGAGAGGTCAAGGTTAAATATTTGGGACTGGTTTCTCAAGAACATTGGGAATTCTCTCAAATTACAAGAAGACAATCTTAGAATCTCTAAGTTTGGAAATGAAGAAAGGTTAGCATCCATAATATTTGCATCAGCTGACAAGTTGTTGTAAGAAAGATCTAATCTCTGTAGATATTGACATCCTTGAAGCATATTAAGGTTCAAATCACCATTTAAATGGTTGGATGAAAGATCTAATGTCTGTAGACGATGACATCCTTGAAACATATTAAGGTTCAAATCACCATTTAAATGGTTGGATGAAAGATCTAATGTTTGTAGATGTCGACAGACTTGAAGCATATTAGGCTTCAATTCACCATCAAAATGGTTGGATGAAAGATCAATATGTTCTATAAATGGGAGTTCAAATAAAGAAAAAGGGATTGGACCAGTGAAATTTGTGCCTGTTACTTTTAAAGTCTGAAGAGATCCATTCAGGGGGAAGCTTTTGAAGGACCCATGGAGATCAAAGTTGTATGATAGGCTTAAATAGGACAATGTTGCAATTTCAAATATTTTTTGTGGAAAATCTCCTATCAAGTTGCAATTCGCAAGATTCAAGACGGTTAATTTCTTTAAATTGGCAAAGCTTTCGGGCACTGGGGATAATAGATGATTATTATCAAGATAAAGTCTTGAGAGGTGCTCAAGTCTCCCCAATGAAGAATCAATGGGCCCAGAGAGATTGCAAGAGCGCATGCTTACTTCTTCAAGACTAGGAATTGCTAGCAGAGCATTGCTCCAATCTTTCCCTTGAGCTGATATGTCTATATAATCTAAATACAAATACCTGATTTTTGTGAGGTTTTGGACTAGTTGTTGTAGATTTGGATTCTCCAGGTTCAAGGATGATGAAGAAGATAAATTAAGACAAACCAGATTTTTCAACTGGGAAATTTCCATTGGTATTTGCCCTTCCAAATCATTGTGCGACAAATTCAAAGAGACCAAGTTCTTCAAATTTTTGATTGCAGGCGAAATTGAAGAATAGAAAATATTATAACTCAAATCCAAGTTCTGCAGATGTTGGAGACAAAAAAGAGCACTTGAATTATGCAATTCTGCATCTATGGCTTCTGAACTTAAGTCGAGACCAGTAACATGCCCCTCCTTATTACAAGTCACACCATTCCAATCACAGTGAGGAATGCTTTGATTCCAGCTTACCAGTTTAGTAGACCATGAAGCATGGAACTTGAATTCATTGTTCTTCAGTTGCAGCAACAATGATTGTTCATCTTCAACACAAAGACCAGACACCGCCGACATGTGGCTACAAAGGCACATGTAACAAAACAGTATCAATTGAAGAAATAAAAATGAAAGGATCCTCATAATGGAAGACTATGAAGGATACTCCCTTTTGTAAAATTAGAGATTCAAGCAAATTCTCTGATACAAACTATGAGTGTTCTTCAATTCAGGACAATAGACCTCCACACATAAATTTAGGGGAACTTGAGCTTCGTTTTCATGAATGATAAAATTATTTGTGTGGTCGATTGCCACGGGAAAAAAGGAAATGTATTGGCAAGTCTTTTCTAAAAGTCATTGCAAGAGTTTATTTCAAGTTAGTACCCCGCGAAATTGCTCCAGTCTTGATAGTAACTTTCAATCATTTTTGAAAAGTCAGGAAAACTTTTTGAACCCTTAACACGTCAAAATATATTACTTTTTCCATCTTAAATTATAAAATATTTTTTAAAAAAATTTAATATTTTAAAATATAAGATATTTTAATAAAAATAAGGTTTCATTAATGATACTTTTTTAAGACTACTCTTCTCATATATTTTTTCTTTTCAATATTCTTTCATCAATGAAATATTAAATAAAGAACATTTTTAAAAGTTTGTATTTTTATCTTGAGAAACTAAGATTATAAAGTGTATTTAATAAGTTTTATTTGTATGTAAGAATTTATGTTAAAATATTTTATAATTTAAAATTGAGGGGGTATTATTTTATTTTTATTTTTTTTATCAACTGAAAAAAGTGCAGCAATTAAAACCCACACTCAATTTGCTCAAACGTTCGTTTATCCAAACAAGAGGGTCCACCGTCCAGTCGCGGCTTTATGTTGGAGCAGAGTATACGTGGGTGTAGCAAGGTGCATTCACCGCGTCTCAGACTACCAACTCTTCTTTTGAACATGGGTCCCACGAGTTTGAATAATTAATTGCTATGGTTTTTTCAATTGATACGACATCAGGTATATTATAAAAATTTTACTTAACCCAAAATATAAAGTATTAAATAAATTTTATATTTATTTTTTAATTATATTCTATTTTTATTTATTTATTTATCACTTTTTTAAAAAAATCATACATCAAAATTTTAATTAATATTATTAAACTCTTATATAAGATATTTAATAAAGATATAAATAAAAAATGCATACATTCTTAATAATGTAATGTTTCAACTAATACTATTCATAAATCATGAATTAGTTAACAATGACTTACTCCTTCCATCTCTATATATAAAATATTTTTATTGAATCATGTAAACTAATAAAAGTTGGTTGTCTAATTAAAAGCATAACAACATTTCAATTTTGCCCTTAATTATTGTAAAAAAAAATCTGTTTTTTTAAAGTAAATTAATAAGAGTACTTATCATTTTCTCTTTCTAATTTAATAAAGGTATAATGATCTATTTATTAAAAAATATGCTAATAATCTCTTATATTTAGGGATAAAAAAATATTCTATAAAACTTCTTATAGATAGAGACGGAGAGAATATATTGTAATAAGAAGGGAGTAGATTATTGTACACCACATCACTATATAGAATACTTGATGCTCTTCAATTTTTTTCTCTCTTTTTTATCGATTTTAACTAAATATTTTCAATGTTATAATTTTTGTATTTTTTTATTTTTGATAAATACGATATTAGAAATTAAAATATATAAAATTAGAATTTTTTTAAAAAATTGCAAGTAAAAAATTTTAAATTTGAACTATGTAGATTACATCTAGACTCTTCAAATTTTGATAATAAAAAATTTATTATAATTTTTATAAATTTTATTGTAATAAATATAAAATAATACTTTAAATTTAGACCATCCATATCAAAATCTAAATAGTCTAAATTTCACCGATCGATGAGCATAATGTGATGAACACTGAAGATGGGGGGGGGGAGAGAGAGTAGTGTTTTAACCCATGTTTACTCAAAATTAACTGTGGAGTTGAGATTGCTATAGTATCATTGCTTAAAGTTTAAAATGTACTAAAGATGAATTTAGGGATTAAATCATTTATGAACCTATAATTTAGGATCTAACTTACTATTTAACCCTTTTCATATATCATTTTTTCGCCATTTCTATACACAGGTAAATGTTACCCATTTTTTTCTTAGAGAAGGTTTTATTTATTTTTGAAAATAGATAAGAAAGAGTTTGATATAATATGCGTAATTTATTTGTTTATTTTAAATTGAAACTCAATACCATTTAACGTAGTTTTTTTTTTTCATTTTAACAATACATTTTTTGTTAATTCTATTTTTTATTATTGAATAATATAATCCATTTTTAATTAACTTGTGCTTATTTTAAGAATCTATTATATATATGTATATATTCATTCCGTTAAAAAATATAAGACATTTTTAATTGAATCTCACTCTCAATAAAGTAGTTATCTACTTTCAAACTAACTCTATTTTTTTATATTTATTCCTATTAAACACCTTATAATAAATATAAAGTCATCATCACTAAGGGCACTTTTGAAAAAAAAAGACAATGATTACACCTCGAAAGACTAAAAATGCTTTACATTTTTAAATATCTAATTCCTCAAAAAGTGCCTTATATTTTTGAACGGAAGGAGTATATATATATTATCTTTATTTTAAGATTGTTCCTCGTCAATTTTTATATTTTTTAATTTTAGTTATTTTTAATCGTTTATTTTAAATTAAGATAATTCAAAAATACTATTAATTGATTAAAAATATTTGTTAAGAATTTGTTTGTTCCGTGACATCGCACACTCTCTTGAAAAAAGTATAAACTCAAGTAACTATGAAAATTATAATTATAATTGGATCATTATCTTCTCCCATTTAAAGTCAATAAATCTTTATTTCTCATCTAATTTATCATAACTTTTAACAAAAAATAATATCATAAAATAAATAAAAATATTTATGATCTTTTGAACATTTCTTATCATTATACTTTTTTTTAATCTCTTTCAAAACTTAATTAACATGGTACGTACATCATCAAAACTAGGGTGAATATTTGATATGCTCACACACTAAGCATCTCAAAAACAATTTTGATTTTTTTTTATTTTTAATCAACTGCTTTTGGGATGTGAAATCTTTTTGGAATCTGACATGATTTGATTTTTGTATTTCTGACACAATTTTTTTCCACAACCTTGTATTAAAAAAAAAAACAGGATGAATATGCAAAATATGAAATTTAACAAAAAAAGAAAAAGAAGATCAATGATGCTTTGTGAGAAGCGAGGAATAGGATGATGATATGCGGATGACGGTGCTTGATAGAAAATGCTTAGTTTAATGAGTGGATGAATGGACGAAATGAAATCTAACCAAAAAATCTATAATCAACATTCCTCAAAAATTAACAAATTCACAAATTAAAAACAAAAACAAAACTCACTAATTGATTAATGATTATGAAATATTAAATTCAAATCATTCAAAATTTGATTGAGGGATTAAGATAGGAAATAAAGAGATAGTGGTGCAAAAAAGAAAAAAAGAAAAATCAAGTCCACAAACAAGAGAGATTTTAAGTTTTCCTCATTTCCCACTCTCATCAAATGAGCTGGCCTTATGTGTGAATTATATTTTAATTATGCTTTTTAACATTTCAATAAATTTTCATCTATTACCGTACCATTCCATTGAAAAAGAGAGAGAAAATATCTTTCATATATTCTCATTTAGCTTATGTTATAAATTATTTTATATTTTGGGAGACTATCATTTACAGTTAAGCTGGCCCGAGTTCTGAAAAACTGGAATTATTATTAGCTTTCTCATTATTTAGCTCACGTTATAATATACACATATTAAATTGAAACACGTACTAACTTTTGCTCTTAACATTTTGAAGTACTCGGTTAGGTTTTATTTATGTGTTTGGAGACTTGAGTAAATTTTATATTGTTACTACTGTTCCGTAAAATGAGGAAAAATCTTCCCATTCACATAATTTTGCTCATATTATAAATTATTTTATAGATTTGTTAGGAAATTGACATTTATAATTAATTAAGATAACCTTCCTCTGCCACTATTCTGAAAATCTGGATTCGTGCTTGCCATTACTCTAATAAATACATGCATATATGCAACTCATCATAATTATTATTGATTGAAAGCATTTGTAATTATTAGTGAATAATCTGGTTCCTTAATATTTACCATAATTTATTTTTTTAATTCAAAAGATATTAGATATTAAATTATATGCAAGGATATATATATATATATATATAATATTTTAAAACATCTTTAAGAAAAATATAAAAAATTATATTTTCAATGCACTTTCCTATAATTTGAAAATAGCCGTTGCTGCCACTAATGTCCCTCCATTCCTTTTTTCCCCCTATAAAAAGAACAAATACGTTTAAAAAAATTTAAAAATAATTTACAACAATATTTAGAAAATGCATTTATTGAGTGTGTGCACAAAGATTCCTTTAATTTTCAATGCATTGTTTTTCAATAAAAGAAAAAGATGAAGTGCACTTACATAAGAAAGAAAAATGAAAGTGTATGAGCTAGATTCCTTACAATAAACCAATAATTAAAAAAAAAAAAAGCCACCATAAAATAGCCTTGTCATACGCTCTTTGGGAATTTTAAAAATCCAGCCCATATTATTGGAGAGTTGGCCCATTCCCAATCATGGTAGGCTGACCCACAACCCGTTTTACAATGCTATTATGAACATAATAACTAACTGTGACCAAAAGCAGTAAATTTTCAACCTACAAAAATAAATTAAAAAAAAACTTTACACCTTCTAAGCTATGTGATAAAATTTCCAGATTTAAGAAAAAGTATAAGAGCCAATAATAAAGATATTCAGACATTGATGGAAAACATAAGGGCATCACTTAAAATAAACTATAAAAAACATTAACAACACGAACAAATTCTAAGTCGAACACCATTACTCCACACAACAAGGTATTAAATTTGAATGATCAAACTCAAATAATTACAAGAATCATACTTCAAATCTTTATTTCACTATCATGTCTAGCTAAGCTGCATCATATTTGAATGTCACCTTCATTAATCCTCTTCACCTAAAGTTTACAATGGTATAACAGAGTTAGTTGGTTGATACAATTGAAATATATATATATATATATATTAACAATATAGACAATATGAATAATGAACAAATGGTTCAAAAAAAAAAAAGAATAATGAACAAAAACAATATTAAAAAGTTACAGCATATGCTTTATCAAGTTACAGCAATTGCTTTATGAAGTTTTTACTACTATTACATACAAACGGGTGTATATCCACTAATTGCATCGCCATGTTTACTTCTATAATATTGTAATTATCTAGCGTGGATCAAAATTTTAATCAAAATGTATATAGTTTTGAGCTTTTGTATATATGCACTTTTGCCCGTGCACGAAGTCTCAATTCTTGCAAATTCTACTAATAGACAAATATAGTCTTATGTATGTTGTCATAATAAAAAAAGACCTATGTATCATGTGACATAATATAAAGCAAGGATTAAAACATTAATGAACATTTACATGAATAGAACTCGATCATATGACACACACGCACACTAACACAAAAAACTTCCATTGTCATGAAGAAAACATATCATAATAAACACAAAAAAAAAAAAAATGCATGCATGTATACTTCAAACAATATAATAAAATTTGCTAAATATAATCATATATTTATTTACCTTATAAATCAATACTCAAATCATGTCGCTCAACAAAGTGTGAAGCTTAACGACTCCAACGCAGAACTACGTGCCATTTTCCCTCATGCCTTTGACAATCAAGATAAAGTTGTGGAAAGATGCTACAAAGTACGTTTTCCACCCACCTCCAGTATCTTACCTTCCATTGCTTCCAAAAGAAAAGAGGCCCAACAATAATGGATAAGCCAAAAATCAATCCAAATTCCATGCCCGTTATAAACTTGAAATCGATTCCATGATCCTTTCTAGATGCTAGACGTGGCATCGGTCCAGGCTTCCCATAACTTGGAGTTTTGGTCAAAGGAGGTCCATAGAGCCCATCATTGACTTGGAAGGAAGAGACATCAAATGATTGAAGTTGTGTGCTTGTAGGGATCATTCCCAGCAGATGATTAAATGAAAGGTTCAAAAATGAAAGGAATGACAAACTTGCAAGCTCTATTGGAATCTCTCCAGTCAAAGAATTGCTTGAAAGATCCAAGGATTCAAGCTGCTTCATATTTCCTATTGAAGATGGGATTTTGCCTGAGAAACCATTATTTGATAAATTGAGAACATGAAGAACTTCAAACTTCATCAGCTCTTTAGGTATAGGCCCTTCAAAACGGTTAGATGAGAAGTCAATCAAAGTAAATAAGTTTAGTATTTTATCCGACTCCATATATGTGCCTTTACTCATAATTTTCACCGTCTCATAGTAGTAACCGGTTCCATTATAAATAATTAGGTCATAATTAGAGTCCCAAAAACCTTAACTCATTGCTTCCCATGTTGTCAAGGTTCTTGTTGGAAGAAAACCACTGAAGTTATTAAAAGACAAATCAATAATTTGAAGGACTGGCCAAGTTCCATTGTTGTCAAAACATTCAATGGGGCCCTCTAATCTGTTCCCTCCCAATACCATCACCCGCAATGAGGATATTTTCTTCAACAAGCATGGAAAGTGTCCCTCAATATGATTATTCCCAAGATTTAGCATCTCTAAGTACTTGCATCTAGCAAGAGACTCAGGAATTAGCCCACTCAATTGATTTTCATGGATATCTAAAGCCTTTAACCAACATGATTTTGGAAATGAATTAGGGATTTTACCAGTGAGCTTGTTGTCTCCAAGACTTAATACCCAAAGCATCTCACTCTCTATCAAACAAGCTGGAATTGTCCCTTTGAAGCTATTATTGGAAAGATCGAGCTCATTTAGAAGAGAAGCTTCGCACAAGGAACGAGGAATGTGTCCATGAAATTTGTTTTCAGAAAGAGAGAGGAAAAAAGTGGAAGATAAATGGGTTCCAATATTGTGTGGAATAATAGAGTTGAAGTTATGACTTGAGCAGTCCAAATAAGCCACAGAAGAGAACACTGGAATTCGTCCTTGGAGTTCATTGGAATGAAGATCAAGAACATAGAAATTATTTGTGAGATTTTTCATAGATTCAAAACCTGTCAAATAATTGATAGAAAGATTTAACCACTGTAATCCTTGAAGTTTCCAAATCCAATGAGGTATCAATCCTTGAATATGGTTGTTTGAGAGGTCAAGAGAATAAACCATCGGAGAATGGTTTCTTAAGAACGCTGGGAATTCAGTCAAGTTACAAGAAGCTAATCCAAGATGAAATATGTTTGGAAATGAAGAGAGGTTAGCATCAATAACCATGGATAAGTTGTTGTAAGAAAGATCTAATATATCTAAATATTGATGACTTTGAAACATATCAGGCTTTATTTCACCATCAAAATGGTTGAATGAAAGATCAACGTATGCTATAGATGGGAGTACAAATAGAGAAGAAGGGATTGGACCAGTGAAGTTTGTTTTTCTTACTACTAAAATCTCAAGAGATCCATTTAGTGGGAAGTATGGCAAGGAACCGTGGAGATTGTCATTGTGAAGTATGCTTATGAAGGACAATGTTTCTATTTGGAATATCTTATGCGGAAAATCTCCCCTCAAGTTGCAATCCTGAAGACTCAGGATAGTCAATTTCTTTAACTTGGCAAAGCTTTCAGGCACTATAGATGATAGATTATTACTATCAAGATAAAGTTTTGAGAGATTCTCAAGTCTCTCCAATGAAGAATCAATGGGTCCGAAGAGATTGCACCCCATCATGCTCACTTCTTCAAGACTAGGAATTGCTAACAAAGCATTGCTCCAATCTTTTCCTTGAGCTGATATTTTTACATAATCTAGGTACAAATACCTGATTTTTGTTAGGTTTTGGACTAGTTGTTGCAAATTTGGAATTTCAAGTTTCAAGGATGAAGAAGGTAAATCAAGACTAACCAAATTTTTCAACTGGGAAATCTCCATTGGTACTTTCCCTACAAAAGAATTATCAGACAAATTCAAAAAGACCAAGTTCTTCAAATTTCCAATTGCAGGCGAAATTGAAGAATTGAAATAATTGTGACTCAAATCCAAGTTTTGAAGATGTTGGAAACAGAAAAGAGCACTTGAATTATGCAATTCTCCATCTATGAATTCCCAACTCAAGTCCAGACCAACAACATGCCCCTCCTTATCACAAAGTTACACCACTCCAATCACAGTAATAAAAAATAAAGCTTTGATTCCAGCTTACTAGTTTAGTAGACCATGAAGCATCGAACTTGAATTCATTGTTCTTCAGTTGCAGCAATAGTGATTGTTGATCTTCAATACAAAAGCCGGACACCGCCAACAAGTGGCTGCGAAGATACATGTAGCAAAATAGTATGGAGTGAAGAGATAAAATTGAAAGGATCCTCATAATGGAAGACTATGAAGGATGCTTCCTTGTGCAATCAGATAATCAAGTTCTCAGATACAAACTATTATATGTCTTCTTCAATTCATGACATTAGACCTCCATTTAATTTGCGGAAGTCAAACTTCATTCATGAATAATAAAAAACATTTATTACGTAGGACCATCTATCAAGGACCAGAGAGAGAGAGAGAGAGAGAGAGAGAGAGAGATGAATTGACAGGTGTTTTCTAAAAGTCATTACAAAAGTCTATGTCAAAGTTAGGAACACACGAAATTTTTCAAGTTAGAATATTAATTTTTATTAATTCTTATTTATTTTTCACATTAGAATACTTTCAAGTTATAATATAATTTAATTCTTATTATTCATATCCATTTAGAACACTGTACAATTTTTTCTCTTTTTTTTTAACTTTTTTTAGTTTTAATTATATGTTTTCAATGTTATAACAAAAATCAACACCCAAGAGAGAGTTTTCCTCGTGAAAAAAGTTCATATTAATTGGGTCTCATGTTCACCAAGATCAAGACATGCTTTTAGATAGATAAAGTTCTCACATTAGTAGTAGAATTTTTTTCTCATGACCTATGGATCATAGGTCAAATTATAATCAATTGAACTAACTTTTGGTGAAAACACCCTATAAAGTTAATAAATCTATTTAAGCAAAAGTGCATTCCAAGGCTAAAGTGCAGTCAATTAGGTTATGGTTGTGTTTGGATTAAAAAATTTGCAATGTTGGAAGCGATTAAGGTTGGCAAACTTGAAGTTAAAAAAACAAAAAAGCATGTCTCTTTATCATGATTTTATTTGAATACTTTTTATTTAGAAGTCAGTTAAATAAATTAAAATTTATTTGGATGATTTGGTTTAAAATCTAGTTGATATGTATATATATTTTATATATATATATACACACACACACAATGTAAAATAAAAGGTGCATATATAATTAACTATTGTTTGTGAATTATAAAAATATAAAATAAATTGTTAAATTATAAAATATTAAAATCTAAAAATCTAAAATAAACAGATAAATTATGAAATACTAAATTAGAACCTTTTTAACAATGATATGCTCAGTGTGATTTACAATTTGATCTTTAATTATTTTTTTAAATAAGTGTTATTTTTTCATAATTTGGTCCTTAGAACACATAATATTATTGCAAAACTTAATATAGGCATGTAGCATGTGTTTGGGTGGGTCATGCTCGATGGTCATCTCCAGTGGCTCCACCATCGTGTAGTGCGAAATGGACGGAAGAAAACCAGAGACCTCCTAGACCAAGAGACGATAGAATGCCAGCCATGGACGAACAAGAAGCAATTACATGTTGTAGGATGGCCCAAACAGAGGTTAGGATGTAAAAATCGCAAAACATCTTGTTTGGATGGAAAAAAATTTCAACTGAAGTTATGGTTTAAATGAGCTTTTTTCCTAAACTAATCTTTCCTGGCTTCTGCATTCAGCCTTGGTACTAGTGAGCCATTGTTTTGTATTCAGACGACTTTTCTTTGTATTTTCGGCCGAAGACAAGCAAAACGACAACATCAAAAAAATAATAACAAAAGATGAAGAGAGAGAAATTAGTGGGGACAAAGGAGAAGGATAAGAGAAATTCTTATATGCTCACGTCGCTTATAACATTTTTTTTAATAATAAAAATACAGCAATTCACATTGTTTTAATTCTATTAGTCTTGCAATATTTTAATGTTCATATTTTTGGATTTAAAATTTTGTCAATTGAGATATGTAAATTTCAATTTATTTTTTTTAAAAAGAAAATATTTAATATTTTATAAAAAATAATAAATTGATTAAGTGAAGTTTACCTTTTTAGTATTTTTCATCATTTTATTATTTTTATAAAGTATTATATATTCTTTCTCATTTTTTAAAAGGCAAACTTCACTGAAATCATCACAACATATGTATTATGTTCACAATATTATTAGAGATCAACTTATAGATCATATCAATTGAATAATTTGTAATTTATAAATTTATTTTAGCTTTTCATAATTGAATATTTAAGATATCCTACTTATTAATTTTCATTTTAAGTTTAGTATTTTTCACTTATCAATTAGTCAAAAAATATGTACTAAAAAATTTATGGATATATTTGTCATTAAAAATCTTAACTGACTTTTGAATTAAAATAAAATATTTGGTTTATCTAGCTGACTTATGAAAAAAAGATATCCAAATATTAATCACGTTTTATTAACTGACTTTTTCTCTAATCTCAGTGTGCTAACCTCAGTTAAATCATGACCTCAATTGTAAATTTCTTAATCTAAATACACACTAAATCTGTCAAAAAATTCCATAGAAAATATGTTTTGAATTGTGTCTGATAACACTATTCTTAAGAGCAATTCCAATATAATTGTTGGAACTCCCTATGATTAAGTGGAACCTCCTTAACAATAGTCATATATTTTTAGAACAGAGCAAAATAACTCTTGCTGAAAACCCCTCCAGTTTTGATGTTTTGATCACCAAAAAAAAAAAATCCTAATATCTTGTTAATAATAATTCTAATTAAATTAGAATCTCACAATATCATATCTTCCCATCCTAATTAAATTGGAACTTTTTATATATATTGCCAACCACTCTAATTAATTAGAATTTCATAATATAATATCCATAAGTCCTATTTTTACATCAATGATACTTCAATTAAATGAGTACTACAACTATCCTGGTTCAATACTAGAACAAGAATGAAACAAACCCATGTACGAATTCACTAAACCCATATGTATAATTTGCAACATATATACTCTGTTATTTAATCATCTATGGTTTTCAAATAAGATGATTTAATTTATCATACCTCAAAATAAATCATATTAACACGATCAATCAGATGCATAATCACACCTCATGTGTACCAGTGGATCACAACCACAACCCTAGTAGTATCAACAACAACAACAACAACAACAACAACAACAACAACAAGCCTTTATCTCACTAGGTGGGGTCGGCTACATGGATTGCAAGACATCATTGTGTTCTATCATTTATTAAGCTTTTAGGAATATTATTAATTAAAAGATTGGGTTCAATAACTTTCAAGAGTGTTCTCTTAAGTCTTCCTCTATCTCTCTTAATCGGACTCAAAATTATATGTTCCACTCTTCTCACTGGTGCCTCCCTTGGTCTTCTTTGTACATGCCCAAACCATCTCAACCAATTTTCTACCATTTTTTTCTCAATAGGTGCCACCCTCATTTTTTCGCGTACGTGCTCATTTCCAATTTTATCTTTACGTGTATGTCCACATATCCATCGTAACATTCTCATCTCTGCTACTCCAGCTTTATGCTCTTGCTGTCCCGTTAGAGCCCAACATTCACTACTATATAACATTGCCGGTCTAATAGCAGTGCGATAAAACTTTTTTTTAAGTTTATTAGGCACCTTACGTTCGCAAATAACTCCTTTAGCTTTTCTCCAATTAAACCTCTTAGCTTGAATTCTATGTGAAATATCTCCACTGATTTCGTCATCATTTTGAATAATGGCTTCCAAATATCTAAACTTTTTCACTTGAGGTATAATTTGATCTCCTAATTTCACTTTCAAATTATTATCGAATAGTCCTTTACTAAATTTATAATATAAATATTCCATCTTACTTCTACTCAGATGAAAACCTTTCGACTCCAATGTCCTCCTCCATAACTCAAGTTTGCAATTAACCTCTTCTCTTGTCTCTGCTATAAGAACTATATCATCCGCAAAGAGCATACATTTCGAAATTTTCCCTTGAATATGTTCTGTCAAAATATTTAAGATCAAGTTGAATAAATAAGGACTCAGAGATGATCCCTGATGTAGTCCAATCTTTATAGGAAAATCCTTTATTTGACCATTAGACGTTCTTATACTAGTTTTTACCCCCTCATACACATCTTGTATGGTTTTAATATAAGCAATTCGTAAATCCTAGTAGTATCAATTAATGGAAAATCTCACATTCAAAACATGATTAAATTTATCACAAATAAGAAACATTTTGGTGCATTGACCATGATTCAGTCTTCAGACCGAGCCAATACTTCGATGTTCCCAAAAAGAATGAAAGCAATGTGGTCCAGCCTTGCTGCGGAACAAAAGATAACTTATGGCATTTATAATTTATTGCTTTCTCAACCAAATGTTTATCATATTAAAAACTTACAACATTGCTGACACATGATTGATCTTTAAATTCCTTAAAGAAACCAAGTGCAACATGTTTTTTTTTTTTTTTTTCCATAGATTCCAAAATTGTGTTCCACCCTCAATATTTATAAAAATTGAATGATCATTGTTTGGCTCATAATAAACGATTGATAATATATCGTAATTGACATTCTCAAATATGCTAAAGCTATATTTGGATGCATAGAGATTTAGATTTACACTAAATTCATTGTTTGGGTAATTAAAAGGGGAGAATGACAAAGAAGTCACAAAAGAATCAATTAATTTAAGTTAGGTTTCAAGTGCCAAACTCCAAAAATTTGCAAGTTCATCTCTCAATTTTGCAATGGCATTATGATGAATTTTTAACTTATTTTCTAAATTTTAACATGGTTGAAGAATAAAAAAATTATTTTCCCTATTAAAATTTGGAATATATGTTGTAACTTCATCACAATGGATTGCAAAATTGAGAAATTGAGTTGTAAATTTTTAAAATTTGACACTTGAAACATAACTTGAACTAATTGGTCTTTTTAAAACCTCTCTATCATTCTCCCAATTAAAAATGTATAGACTCAAATTCAAATTCAAATTCTACTTCAATCTCTTTATAATTTAAAATTCTCAAACCCTTATTATTTTAAATCCTACCTCAATATCTTTGTAATTTGATTGGCCCATCAGCAACACCTAATAGAATCAAGTTGCCAAGGACAACTAGGACCAAAATGCAGCC